ATTCATTTGCTATTCACGCAAAAAAAAAGATTAAATAAAAATATGAAAATATTATAACGAAAAATTCCATACATTGATTCCATACATAGTTGTAAAATAAAATTATGATTTAAAATGTTGATGGAATTCTACAAGCCATACCAAATATTCAATGCTATCAACAAATACATTTAATTTATAACAGCAACAAGCTATATTATTATCGAATAACAACTTTTCCTTATTACTTTTATTGAAAAATGACTTTTTTTTTGTTTATTTTTGATAAAAACTTCAAAAGAAATTTTTTCAACAATATGAAAGAATCTGTTTTAGACTACAAAAAGAGAGCATTCAAGTCTTTATCATCATATATAAATATATTTCGTTGATATATACATAAACAATTACATGAGGTTTTATTCTCTTTTAACCCAAAGAAAAATCTCAGCTTTCAATCAAGAGTATTACTAATATAAAAATAGAATAATCATGGATATTCCACAGTTGAATAATCTATTTTCTACTTGAAATAGGTCACAATACTAGTCAAGATACCTACATAATTCAGTTTCCTGCAAGAACTACGACTCGTAAATATGAATTAAGGCTATTTTTGACTAAAGATTAAACAGATAATTAAAAGACTGTCTGGGAAGGAAGTTAATATAAGGCAACATTCAATTGTCAAGACACAGTCTAGAGATGAATGATTTTGCTTTTAATAGTATCCGACTCCAGTTTCGACTAGAATAATTGTTGAGAGAAATGCACTAAGAAAATATCGAACTAGAGGGAATTATTTTTTACCATGTGACAGTTCCATCCGAAGGCACACATTGTTCTTCGCTCTAGAAAATGTTTTATGACAAATGTTGAGAATTAAATGACGCTCTACTTTAAAGTAGTGCACAGAATAAAACAGAATAAGTTCATATTTCTTTGATTACGAGTACTAATCTTCCAATAGAATGATGTGTTCATATTTGAACACGAGTATATTTTTATCAATTAGCAAGCAAAGGATGTTTAAACAATTGTAATTTTAGATAGAAGCTCAAATCATAATCGGCAATATTGAAACATAAGATATAAAAAAAAAATATGAGCAGACAAAAATTATATACTAAGACAGCTAACATATTGCTTTACAAAAACAAAAAATAAACAATTTCACAGTGAGAAAAGATTCTGGGGTGACTCGTTCGTTCTAATAACTTTCTACATTTCTATTGACTATTCAATAATTTATTATGAATAAAAATATGCTTCTCTTATACTTATGGGGAATTCGTCTTTTAAAACGTAAGAATCAGTAATATAAGTACGAATTACAATTTGAATTTTCTTACACTGTCAATCGAACTTTTTGAAGCATGTAAAAAGAAATTTTCACAATCTTCCAACAGGTTCCTGTCAGAATGATGACATTCTGGAATAGAATGAATTTAACTTGGAAAATACATAATTTGTCTAAAGCAAATGATATACAGATAAGTCGTGCATTTCCTTTTCTCAACTTGTTTCCTATCCTCTCTTAATGTGTGTTCCGGATTGGAAAAAAAACATAATAATCACCGTATTCTCTATGATGACATGCTGACATAGCTAAGTAACACAAACCTCAACATTATCTTTTCTTTTTTCATGACAGTCCATGTCAGAGAAGAAGTATATCTAAATTCTTTTTCTATAGATGCAACATCTATTAATAATCATATTTTACAGTACACGAAAACTCCATATACAAGGGTGTTATATGTTACAAAAAACATACTCATTTCTTCTGTTTGACACATGTCGCTAGTTGTCGAAAAAAAAGTTTCATAGAATAAATTCGATTTAATTTCTTTCATGATGTTCCGAAGTAAAAAAGACGTAATAAAGATATTATTCAACTAAATCTTAAATGAAAAAATTTGGAAATAAAATATTCTTCTATTTTGAGTATTTATCGTTACTCGTTTATTGTCAAAACCAATCATTGAAGAGAAAAAAAAATTTTTTGCCCTTACCATTGCCTTCTTTCCTTTTGTTTGCACTTAAAAATAATTTCTTTTTTGTCGAATTAATCATCATTCTTAATTACTAATTCAATTTTCAGATATAAATCCTCTGATTGAATATTGATTAACATTAAAACAAGAACAAGCTTGCAGTTATAATTAAATATAATTATATACATTTGTTACTGATTACTTGATCATTGTAAGTATTTTTTTACATCAATAAATCACAGCAAGAACGAAAAAACTTGTTTACTCCATAACTAAAATTTCTTTTTTGCTATAGAAATATTTTGTATGAGAATATATAACAAAAAGAACAAAAAAAAAGCAACATTAGATCTTTCTATTTATTTTAGTTCTAAAAGTACGAAAAGAGAAAGTATGATGAGTCAACACCCGATAGAATTCAATAATTGAAAGAAAAGTTATTTTAGAACAAACGAAAGCTTATCACAATGATATTACAAAAAAAAAAAGATACATAATACAGAACGAAAGAAAAAAGAATATTGTTATATTTGTGTATTAAATAAAAAATTCGTCCTTCAGTTGTATACCCTAAAGTAACCAGATAATATATATTTACTTGTTTTTTTTTGGTGTTATGAAGCCTCAAAAACAAAATTTATTTCGAATAATCTAAATTATACAAATAGAAAAATATTTGAAAATTTCCATTTTTAATCATTTTTAATGTGTAAATATCGAAGATAAAAATAAAGAATGTATTCTTACTTTTTTATCAATGTTTTTTTCAACTTTTTCAACACAAGTAGTAAATTCGTCTTAGTTTCAAAATAAATGGATACAAAAGAATGATATATTATATGTTCGATAAATTCTTAGTTTCTATGCTTAATAACAGCTAAAACTCTCCTTGAATAATAACAATAACTCATAGTGAAAAGTATTTTAACAAAATTTAAAGTGCACTCGCAGGTTATAACGTCTCTGTGCATGTATACATATAATATATTTCGCACATCGCAGTAGTTGATGACTGTGTTGCCCTTTTTGTTTCTTTCTTGATAAGAAATTTTAGGCAATGTCATTGTAAACTAACAGATTAACTTATCATTGGTTGTTTTTTCTACGCAACTTTTTATAAAAAAAGAATTTCTAGTATTAATCGGTAATATTAAACTATATTGAAAATGTTTGAAAAAAAAAAGAAAGTTATTTTCGATAAGACTTGTTATATAGTAAAAATTGAGTTCTTTTTCATAAAAGATCACATTCTAAGATGAAGATTAGAATTCGTCTTCATTCTAAATTATATTATTCATCAATTTTTTAAAGAGAAAACTAAAAAAAGTTGATATACAAAACGACATACATTTTATATATAGAAAAAAAATTTAATCCTTTTCCTTTTAATTTCTTCTCTTGTTGCTAACAGATAATATATAATTAAAAGTGAGGATCTATGAATAAGGACAAATCTTTATTCGGGTACACAGATCAGGTCGCGTTGACGTCATTAAGTATTGCATGATTTTTATTATAATGCACTGATTGGTTCTTTTTTTCTGCTACCTATAACAATAATATACTCACAAAAATAGAACAAATTTAGAAATTAATAAATGACAAACATCCAGATATAGCTTTTCTTATAAATAAATTTTCTTTGATTCTTAACGGTGCAATGCTGATATGATGCAGACACCTTTTTCTTATTCTTAATAAAATGAAGTTGGGTGATAGTGCTATAGATTGAGTAGGTGTTATTGCCATTAGCAATTGATAAAAAAAGCAAAAAAAAAAAAAACTGCCGCGTTCGTCGTCTATGTCTGATGAAAAAATAAACCAAAATAGTGAGTAAGAAGTGTCCTTTTTCTTTCTTTCAATTCTTTTGCTTTATGCACTTACATACACAAACATATTCTTGTGTAATAAAGTAAAGCACAGAAAGGAAAGAAGTACCCCGATTATGAATTTGACCCGACTTTTTCTTTTTATGTATTCCTTCACTTTAACGTATACAGCGAGTTTGCATATTAACATCAAGGCCGTGTCTATAAATCTATATAAACGTCCATGTATACACATCTATTAGCATGTATGTGTTGTCGTATATCGTTCTGAATAATATAGGTCGATAGAGAATGTTTTCTCAGTTCGTCGTTCGTTATTGCATGATTAGTCTGGGATGTTTTTTTTCTGCACTTAATAACCTTGACATGCGACATGACATTTGTTGAGTACGTTAATAATAGTGTGAACTCGTGTCGAATATATTCATGTTAATGAATTTTATTTTGCTGATTATTCATTTTTAGTAAAGATATTTTTTTCAATGTTAATTATAATGTATCAAACGAATGTTTTTTTCCTGATGTTATTTGCTTGTTCTTTATTGGCGGATGACAAAGAACATTTTTACCGATATATATATATATATTTTTTTTTTTTCAAGAGCTTGACTGTGCGAACTCTAAGTACGCTCTACTCGTATATTCTTTCGGCCTTTTTTTTGTCTCTTGTTCTGTTTTTCTTTCGCGTATTCTGGACTTTCTAGTGATAGCGAACTTTTTTTTTGCTTTTTCTCTCTCTCTCTTTCTCTCTCTCTCGCTTCTCCTAGCTCGCACTCTAATACAGCCTTCTCTTTTTTTTTTCGCCTACGTTTATTTTTTCTTCTTTCGACTTTCTCCTGACTACACATCACTAGTTTATAAAAGAAAATATAGAACGTGTTCTCGTTGACATCGATATCAACTCCAACCACTGTATGTTTTGTCCTTCCATTAACCATACTGTTTCTTATTTTTTTTCTTTTCTTGATCTTTTAATCGTTCCTATTAGATACAAATAAGATATCAACATCTGTATATATAGATAGTAATAAAAAATAAAAAAACAATATCGCCATGTCTGTACAGAAATCAATGCATACACGCAATCAGAGTTATCGATCATCTTTGTCAAACGACACACATAAAAGGAGGTGTGAAATTTTATTTAAAAAAAAAATAAAGAAAACAGAATCATTATCTTAATTCTATTAAGAACATGTTGTGTCTTTTTTTGGTTAAAGAAATTATTTATTTTTGTTTACTTTAGTTATTATCCGACATCAAAACGTCTATCAAATGACGACGAACAAATTATAAAAGGTGATTTAACAAACGACATAAAATCTCCAGTAAAAAGACGCTCAACTAGCTCAATATCATCTGTAGCATCCTCAAAAACGCAACAACAAACAATTGATTCAATGGCTGATGAATCATCAATCGGTGTACCAAGTCGGTTATGTAGTGTATGCGGAGATATAAGCACGGGTAAATATTATTTTTATCATTTGATTTATATTAACTAATAAAAAAACTTGTTTTCTTTTCAAGGAATCCATTTCGGTGGTAATAGTTGTGAGAGTTGTAAAGCTTTCTTTCGTCGATCTGTTCAATGTCATCGCTATCAAAATTATAAATGTTCAAATGATGGTAAGTTTGATCTATTCTTTTTTTTTAATTTTAAAAAGGGTTATCTCAGGTACTTTCTTTTTCCTTTTCTGCAAATGACAATTACTTTTTTTTCCGTTCTGATAACCTCATCGCGTGATAATAATAAAGCATCAGCAGCCAAGACGTAGTCAATGGGAAATATCCGGATATTTCAGCATTCTTTTTTAAAAAATATACATCGACGGAAGTAAATCAAAGAGTTTTTTTTCAGCAAAAGCTGTATTTTCACTATGTCAATCGTCCTGAGGAAATTCATTCCTCTACTTTCTTCTCTGTAATAGAAAAGAAAAATAGAAATCAACTAATCGCTTGTACTTCGGCGAATTGGATTATTTGTTTTTTTATTTTTTTAGCACGATGCCCGGTCAACATTGTAACACGTAAAGTATGTCAATTTTGTCGTTATACAAAATGTACAACAATTGGTATGAAACCGAAATGGTAAGAATTACAAAAAAAAAACACTTTGTTTTTTAATAAAAATAAAATTAATATAAATAGGGTTTTATCGGATCAAGAGCGAGAAGAAAAATATGGTTCAAGACGTAAACGCTTTCGAGAAACTCGCACAGTGGAAGAAGATCCTGACATTTATAAGTATTTAACTAGCGAAGAAAAATTACTTATAGAAGATATAGCACATGCATTATATCAATCAAGAGCGTAAGTTTAATTTTTTATAATTTTAATAGAATATAAGCAAAAGGTGCTTCAGTACGTTTTATTGTAACAAGAGAAAAACAACAGATCATGCATATTTTTTTCATTCCTCCTCTATCGTTCTCGATAAAGTTTAACAAGTACAAAGTCCACTAGCTAAAAAAAACAAAGACCTTTGACGTTAAATAAATTAACATTTTTTCTTATAGAACATATCCACTGCAATTTCCAAATCGATTAAATGATTATTTAAGTTCATTATCATCAGGAGCACCATCACCATCACCACCAACACCACCAACATCATCATCATCAACATCTGAAAAACCTCCAAGTCCCTCAGCTAATTTTCTTATTGTACCAATTCAACGTCTTGTTTTATTTGCACGAATGCTTAAAGATTTTGATCTATTTTCTGAAGATGATAAAGTTAGTTTACTTAAAGGTTCAGCTATTGAAATAATGGTTTGTTCATCAAATACATTATTTAATCCTAAAACGCATACATTTACAAATTATTTATCACGTGATCAACGTGCTGTTATGGATGATCAAATCATGCCACTTGATCCATTACTTAAGAAATTATGGGGAGAAGAATTATTTAATTTAACAAAAATTTTTTTAATATCAATGTGTAATTTAGAAGTTGATGAAGTAACATCAACATTATTAGCACCAGTTATATTATTTTCACCTGATCGTTCAAATATAACTGATCTTGATTTAGTTAAACGTTTACAAATTAAATATGTTACACTTATACAAAAATACATGTATTGGCGTTATGGTGTTGACCATACAGAAAATATTTATCCAAAACTTTTACTTCAAATTATTAATATACGTACATTAAGTTTAGCACATGCTGAAATCATACAAAAAGTTATGGCAACATCAAGTGTTAATCCACTTGTTCAAGAAGTTACGGCCAAACCTGAAGTCTTGACTAAAGCAACATCAGAAAAAATGAGTAAGTATTCATTAATATAATCAACTTTCAATGATTTTTTTTAGTTCAATCTGTAATAAGTTGTCATAGAATGTTTTGAATAGACTGAATCAAATTATTACATTATAGAGCCAAGAATTTTTTATAATATTTTATTTATTGATTTCACATCGAGCTAATAGCTTTACACGAGATCTCGAGATCGAACCATTTTTTGATGGTCCAACCTAAAGAAAACATCTGTTTGGGCCGAGCGGCCCATTTCGAGTGCTGTTTCAGACGACTCATTGTAATCTTAATCTTCTATAAAAATACCAATCGTACGTAGATCAAAATAGTTTCACTTATTTTATGGTAAATCTTTTCTTTTAAATTCAAAGGAGTTCTTTTTTTGTTTTATTACTCATCCTTTTGAAAATTATTTTTCTCTTTCGAATCGATCAATGGTAGCTCTAGAATATCGTTGATTGACGAAAAAAGTCATTTATAGTATAGAAGCCGTTAGCGAAATCCCTGTAGAACTAAATTGTGAAAAACAATGTAGTTACTGTTGCTAATAACAGGCAGATTGTTTTATTGTATCTATTTTGGGACATAATTTCTTTATCATTTTTTAATTTTCTCCTCTAGAAATGCAATAAGGAAGTAGTTCATTTATTGGAACAAAACATTATTGATATACGGTCTATGATTGTATATCAAACAGCATATGTCACGGTCTGTGACGCGGAGGAAGACGGAGCGTTACTAACGCGTCTATCACGATTCGTGATTAGTCACTTCTAACGTATATGTTATGTTCATGAGAAGGTCTCAATTTCTACTCATGTACCTCAACATTCCTTTTAGATCGTGTTTTTCAAAATAATTTTTTGAAGTACTCAGAACTTATTTTCATAAAGGAGAAACAATTGATATTTAAGTGCTCGATTGAAATCGATAAACTATTTCTGTCCTTGAGATATTCACAATAGAATTAAATAGAATCCATTACAAAAGAGATTATTATTTTATTTTTGTTTCATTTTTTTTTATAGATTCTCTATCAATATCATCACCAGCAACGGATAGTGACATGTTAGAGTATGATAAAATTTCATCAATTAATACTGAAAGTAACATGGGTTCAGATGATGACGATACAAGTAGAAAAAAATCTCGATCATCACTTGATGATGATGGAGATTATGAAAATGAAGATTCCAGTGAAAATATAAGAAACATTTGGAAAAAACGACAAAAATTATCAACAGTTATGCAAACAGAAATAACAAGTCTTGAACAAACTAATTCACCTAATCTTCTTCATAATTCTCATGATGAAATGAAACAAGAATTTATGCGTTCGAATTCCAATGAATTTGAAAAATATTCCAACTCAAATAATTTACATAAAAGGCCACATGATCATCAAGTACCAAATTTTGTACCGAGATTTCACAATGATTTAACTATGCCAAAAAGGTTAATTGAAAATAAAAATATTTGACTTTATTATATTTTTCTTTATTGTTTTTAGAGCCACTTCTCTTCGGCATTTACCACCGAAAAAACAACCATCGTTAAGTAATCGTGATAATTCACATGAACAAATTCATCGGTCACATGCATCATTAACAAGGGATGATTCTTCTCCTGATCAATATTCTCAATGTAAAATTTTCAAGAATGAAAAATTAAAAAATAAATTCATTTATTTTATTTTGTTCTAGTAAATCAAATGTCAAAGTCAACAATATTACCAACATCAAAACAACATTATCCTCAAAATGCATACGAAAATTATCATCAACAATATCATAGAATAGCATCACCTAATTTTCAACAACAACAAAATGAACAACATTTATTTCTTCTTTCATTAGGTAAGTCATTTTTAAAACTTTACAATCATAATGAATAATTAGAAAATCTAAAACAAATTCAAACTCATCAATTTTTAGAATATAAATGATTATTAAATTTCTTTCATAGACAGGCCATACGATTAGGGGGGGGGGGGGGGGGGGGGGAGGGAATTCCCCCCGCCTAAAATTTTGGGTGGAGGTGCCCCTGGGAGAGGTTAGGTTGTTGCGCCGCCGGGGTCTCCGTT